CAATGACACACTTTCTCCCGCTTAGATCTATCTCTAGGTCTATCGCTTATATCTCTTTTCTTAGCCCTCTTCCCCACTCTCTCTCTCTCTCTCTCTTTCTCCTTCCCTCTGTATCTACCTGTCTCTGTATCTATATATCTTTCCATCTATCTCTTTTTTTTTTTGGTGATATTTTAACTATTTAAAGTCGATGGATTCACTCACAAAAGATTAAGTTTTATTTTATAGTTACACCCAACTATGGCTAAATGTGAAGCAGATATATATACAAAATAATATACTTTTAAATAAATTCGCATCGTAAACTTAAAAAAAAATATTCTTTGTAGATAAAATGTTCTTTCTTAATCAATTTTTTAATATTTTTTTATTTTTTTTTATATTTTTTTTTTTTTTTTTTTTTTTTTTTTTTTTAATTTTTTTTTTTAATTTAAAAAAAATAAATTTTTTTAAACTTTTTTTTAAAATTTTTGTTTTTTTTTTTTTTTTTTTTTTTTTTTTTATTTTTTATTTATAATTTAAAAAAATTTTTTTTTTTTTTTTTTTTTTTTTAAATTTTTTTTTTTTTTTTTTTTTTTTTTTTTTTTGGAAGTTGAATGAGAAGATGTATACGTGAAATAATACATAAAATTCCACTATTTTATCTATTTCTGATTTTAATTTAATTACTGTTTCTGAAAATTGTAATTATTTGTTTATATCTATTTAGTGGTCAACTTTCTAGGGTTGAGCATACAAAAGTTCATGTACTCTGTGTATGAATATCAAAAGAAATGTATTGCTTAGTTGTTGTTTTTTTTTTTTAATTCTTCTTATTATTTTATTTCCAAATGGCTTGACGTTCACGCCACTACAACTTTTTCTGATTGCTCCCAATCCTCCATTAGCTGGTCCCCAAGCTAATTGACCTGGTTCAGAAACCCCAGCACTGGCAAGTGGTCAATTAGATCAGTTATGTAATGCACCGCTGCCGAGTGGCGCCCTGCCACCAGTTGGTAGTAAATTGCGTTCTTATTTTCGTGTTCCGGCACCGTTCTCGCTCTGACCTAAATAGCTCCGGGGCCGACCATAAATTAATAGACCAGGGAGGCGATACACAAGGCGAGTGTCCTCAATTACTGCCTCGTTGTTCCATCACCCGGCTCCCGTGCGACCGTTGTCACCGAATGTCATTTAACTTTTTCGTTACGTCCTTCAGTTAACGCTTCGATCCGTATCAAATCATTGATAATTTCTCTCTATTTATGTTTGGGTCGCTTGCATTATACGTAGTGGCAGAAAACGTATTAAAGACATGAGACTTGTACAAGTACACTAACTCCCATCAAGGACACTTGTACATGTACACGAACTCCCATCAATACCACTTGTGCATGTACAATAACTCCCATCAAGGACACTTGAACATGTACACTAACGCCCCTCAAGGACACTTGTATATGTACACTAACTCCCATCACGACACTTGTACACGTACACTAACTCACATCACGACACTTGTACATGTACACTAACTCCCATCAAGGACACTTGTACACGTACACTAACTCCCATCACGACACTTGTACACGTACACTGTGTAACTCCCAAATTAGAAGTTCAAACAGGGTGGCAGTTAGTTAAGGCTCACCACTAAGCCAGCCCGCACTTTAACATCCAACTAAACAACTAAAAATACAACACTACATAATAGATGTACATAAACACTACATAATAGATGTACACAAACACTACATAATAGATGTATACAAACACTACATAATAGATGCACAAACACTACATAATAGATGTACACAAACACTTTATAATAGATGAAAACAAACACTACACAATAGATGTACACAAACACTATATAATAGATGAAAACAAACACTACACAATAGATGTACACAAACACTATATAATAGATGCAAACAAACACTACACAATAGATGTACACAAACACTATATAATAGATGCAAACAAACACTACACAATAGATGTACACAAACACTATATAATAGATGCAAACAAACACTAAAGATTGTTTACCTGATACTCATTAAATAATTTTATTGGTGTGGAGACTCCATTTTTTTTAACTTAGAAGGAGATTTTAGTTATATTTTACGATTGTCTTACGTTGTTAAGAATTGCAAGACGGGGCCTGGGGTCACATAATGGTTGTGGGGGGGGGGGGGGGGGCACATACTGGCCTGGGGGTCAAATAATGGTTGGGGGGGGGGGGCACATCCTGGATTGGAGGTCACATAATGTTTTTGGGGAGCACATACTGGCCTGGAGGTCCCATAATGAGCTGGTCTACAGTGCTACACTCGTATAGTTCCATTTTTATCTCTTCTTTTGTGCTGTAAACAAAGTACAATACAATGATGATCGTTAATCATTCAGATTGATTTTTTTTTATGTATCAAAATACTTAATCCTCTATGTAACAATGTCACTAAAGCTACTAGATGGCTGATTTCACTTAATAACATTCCCGTTAACTGCGCTAAATGAGATTCTTTAAAATACCGCAAGCGCGTTTGGTGCGTAATATTTTCTTTTGTCTTACCGAAATATTCTCAATTTAAATACGGTGTTATAAATATGCCGTATAAAATGGGGTGGGGCATTAGAATATTAATATTGTTCAAGGGCGTGAAAAAAAATTGTGTGGTTGTGAAAGTTCCGGCGGAGGGAACTAATTGGGATACTTATAAAGTAAGTCACTTGAATGCATGTTTTGTCAAGTAGCTTAAGTAGATGGACGTTCACAATATGTAGCGGCAATTGTTTCGTGGGTTATACCAAGGGATATTCAATTCTATGAGCAACAAATCCACCTCACCAAGTGCATCCACCATGTTAAATTCATCAATCTCATCCAACATATTAAATTCATCAATCTCATCCAACATATTAAATTCATCAATCTCATCCAACATATTAAATTCATCCATCTCATCCAACATATTAAATTCATCCATGTCATCAAGTTCATCCACCATATTAAATTCATCCACCTCATCAAGTTCATCCACCATATTAAATTCATCCATCTCACCAAATGTCTCCACCATATTAAATTCATCCACCTCACCAAGTTCATCCACTATATCAAATTCAACCCCCTCATCAAGTTCATAAATCTCATCAAGTTCATCCACCTCACCAAATTCATCCACCATATTAAATTCATCCATCTCATCAAGTTCATCCACTATATCAAATTCATCCACACCATCAAAGCTCCAAATAGGGACGCATTATTTATACGTATATTAGACTCACCACCACAGGGACGTATAATAGACTCACCACCACAGCGACGTATAATAGACTCACCTCCACAGTGACGTATATTAGACTCACCACCACATGGAGGTATATTAGACTCACCACCACAGGGACGTATATTAGACTCACCACCACAGGGACGTAAATTAGACTCACCACCACATGACGTATATAAGACTCACCCCCCACAGGGACGTATATATCACTCACCACCACACGGAACACATTACTTATAAGACTCACCACCACAGTGTTTTTTATAAAATTCGCCCTCTCGCGGATCAGGGAAGAAATTTCCTTTAGGCTGCGGGGCTAAAAATGGCACCAATTTACGTCTGAGGTTTTCGGTTGTGACCTGTGGTTAAATGCAATGACATCTATCAATAGGAAACATTGGGGGTGAATTTAAAAAAAAAATAGGTAAAGGGTAAACATTCAAATTCACTCTTTGAAAATTGATAAATTACATCAATTATTAGGTAAGACCGGGTGGGGGGCGGGGCGGGGCTGGAGACCGAGAAGGGGAGCGGTGAGTGGTAGAGGTGGAGCAAGTATTGTATCATGAAAAAAAACCTTATTATTTTAGTATTAGTAATAATAAGAGTGTTTATTTGAAGAACACGCTTCATCCCCAAAAGCTCGAAGTGCTGTACAAAGTCAACCATATTAAACAGAGAAATAAGAAACAATCTAAAATTTACCACATTTAAAAAACAGACGCAACAATAGAAAACTGTATACGAGCATACCAAGTGAAAGTCTTTCATCCCATTTCAACCATAAGCAACACAAGCCAATATACATTAACTGGGAAAAGATGGTAGATAGCATTACCCCATAAAATCTTTGCGTAATAGCAGATATGTTTTTAAATCGGTTTTAAAGGACTCCAGTGTCTGGCTGTTTCTGAGAGCGACTGGAAGGGCGTTCCAAATTGTTGGGCCGGCAAATGCAAAAGTGCGCTTTCCGTAAGTCTCAAGGCGAACACGCGGTATCGATATTTTGCCACTATCGGATGAGCGGAGCTCTCTAGTGGGTACATAAGGCGTCATGAGCATTTTGGGTGCTGGGTGGCCGAGTGGTCTAAACTGAGCAAATCTCAAGTTGGTGGTCTGGAGTTCAATTCCAGCAAGAACCCACCAGCACCACGGGTAGATGGGACTCGTTAACCTTGGATGGCAACTCATCTAAGAGAAGGAAACTCTGAAATCAAACCCGGAGATGGAGTCCCGAAAGGCGGATAACATTGATACAATGAAACATTCCGACAACTCCTGCGACGTCACTGGTGCCAAGCTGTATCATCCAATGATGTTCCCTTGGGTTACCCAGCGGCGTGGAGAGAGGCGATTTGCTGTTGGGAACCAGCTTATAATCCTTCAAGTATAATCCCAGGCCATGTGGATTTCGTCCTCCTAAGCCCACTCCATCGTCACATTGTGACGGACGGATGCCAGCAAAAAAAAATGAGCATTTTGAGATAGGACGGCGCCAGGTCTTGTAAGCAGCGGTAGCACATAGTTGCAATTTTTTACTCTTATGCGAGCGCGGCCTGCAGCCAGTGCAACTCTCTCAGAAGTGTTTTTGCATGGTCGAACTTGCGTTTGAGACAACATTTGTTAATCTTCGCTCTTTAAATTACAAAAAAAATATTATTGATAAAGCTCTTACGTCTTCCGGTTCTACTGCTCTGACGGCTCGCCTTTTTTCGATGACGCCTCTGACCTCGGGGAGACTCTTTTTCACCAGAAACCCTCCTTCGCCGCTGATGTAGTAGTACTCCTCGCTGGCTGTATCGCTGTCGTCGGCATCCGGGGCGCCGGCCGGCTCCGCCACAGAATCCTCGTCGCCGTGTCTCAGTGACGACACGGGCAGGAGGTTGGAACAGAGTCCTGAACTTTTTAAGGCCAGTTGGTCATGTTTGTCAGCAATCTTGGCGGTCTGGAATTTCAGGGTATCAAAATTATTTTTTTATTTTTTGTTTGTTTGTTACTGTTTTTATTCTTGTGGCTTTTATTTATTTTGTTCGGTTTTTTTTTTTTGTTCGTTTCGTCGGGAACTCATTTGAGTTTTAAAGTTTATTTCGTTTTATTAGCGCAACAAAAATAGCAAAAATGTAAATAACGCAAAGAAATAATTCATGTTTGGTCTGCTACCAACTAGTTTTTTTTATTTTTATTTAACGTCACAACCTTTAACCCCGTAAATATCCAAGAATCCCTGAAGCCATTGGGGTTGTCTGACCCACGCGAGGGTTTTTCAATGGTCTCTATACCATTTGTGTGTGTGTGTGTGTGTGTGCGGAAGTTCAGTAACCAGCATCACTTCTCTTTACAACTCCCAACAGCATCCGATAGCAAAGAATGTAGGCCTTGGTGTCAAAGAGTATAACGGTTGAGTCAAGAGTAAAAAGTTTGAGTCAAGAGTAAAAAGTTTGAGTCAAGAGTAAAACGGTTGGGCCAAGAGTAAAAAGTTTGAGTCAAGAGTAAAACGGTTGGGTCAAGAGTAAAACGGTTGGGTCAAGAGTAAAAAGTTTGAGTCAAGAGTAAAATGGTTGCGTCAAGAGTAAAATGTTTGGGTCAAGAGTACAACAATTTCGTCAAGAGTAAAACAGTTGAGTAATTTTACCTTCAGCAAAGCTTTGTATTTCGCCCGCCTGAGCTGCTCCTTCAGGTACCGGAAGTCGCAACCTTCAGGGGAGGTAAAGCGTTGCTGTTTCCAGATGGCGTGTGGGGTTGTCCGAATTTTCTCGGCCTCGAATCGTTTCAGCTCGCCGGCTTCAATTCCTTTCACCTTCAGCATATGCTCATCGACAAGCTGTTGGTAGGACAAAATTAGTCCCAGTTGGAAGCAGGTTTTCAGCAACAACAAAAAAAAATGGATTTCTGGCTTTATCAAAAGTTAAGTTTTATTCGAAGAAGCTCTAAATATTTTAGCAATTTTTAATAGGGATATTTTTTTTTTCCTGGGACCCAAACTGGGTTATTAGTGAATAATTCCCCCACAACTTCAGAATAAAAATATTTTAAAATAAAATAATCCAAATAAGGGCATGGTGAGCGAGGATGGCTGTCTCGTCACTTTCATTTTAAAGACCAAAAACGATGCGAAAGATTAAAATTACGGACGAATGCACGACTATAAAGCATCGGACATATTTGACTTCAAAGCGTTTAGCACGTGAAGTAAAAAGATAGAAAGATTTTTATGTTTTTGACATTGGTAAGTAATTTTTTTTTCTCTTCTTGGATTTTTCCATAAAAAAAACTTCTTTTGTAGGTTTTCTTTTTTTTGGTGTGTTTTTTTTTTCCTTTCTTTGTTTTCTTTTTTGTTTTCGTTTTTTTTTTTTTTTTTTTTTTTTTTTTTTTTTTTTTTTTTTTTTTTTTTTTTTTTTTTTCTTTTTCTTTTTTTTTTTTTTTTTTTTTTTTTTTTTTTTATTTTTTTTTTTAGGGGGGGGGGGGGGGGCTTTTTGACAAGAATCCAAAACGAGGTTTGTGGAAGCTTGAGTAAGTGAACAGGACAAAAAAACAAAGACGTTTCGGCATAAAGCCTTCTTCAGCTTAAAATAAAAATAACAAAGAACCGAGCACAGTAGACAAGTCAAGAAGTATCCATTCGTGTCCTTGTTTTGTGTCCTGTTCTCTTACTCAAGCTTCCACATATCTCGTTTTGCTATTTCATTCATTTACTAAGCTTGAATGCAGTCCTTTAATTTATATTGACAAGAATCCATCGTTTGACTATAATTTCAAAATATTTTTAGAAAATTCTAGGTCAATAATAAACTTTCTCACAGTTAATATTTCACTTCACATCATGATTATCACATGGGACAGAGTGTTTACTTATTTAAGTTTTCCAGAGATCTGCTGGGACTTGAGACCGATTAGACACTGCCAATTCTCTAAATTAATATCCTTAAGCGTAATATTGCACCTACCGTAAATAAACGTAAACATTTAGTAAAATTTTACTCCGTTCAAATCAAAATTTAATAATTTTTTTTTGCAAAAATTTGTACAGAGTGACAATCCACCAAGCTTTCCCCTCCTTCCATTAGGGGCCGTCCGTCAGTAAGTCACGATATTCTTGTCCAATTATCACCTCCTTCCTACCCCCTGTCACAATATGTCATTAACTCTAGGACCACCACCACCCCCCGTTTTTAAAGTACATCACACTTTAAAACTAACAAAAATTGTTTAAAATAAAAAATATAAAGAAACAATCATTAAAATTTAATCTAAAACACACTTCAATATCAAACTATTCAATTAATAAAATGACATCTTTTGTCAAAATACATCCATCCCAAGAAATAAAAACATCACAGCCAATTTCAGGTTTTAAATGTAGGATTTTTAAAAATGTAGTGTGTGATATTTTGATTGATTGATTGATTAATTTAATACTTGTATAGCACTTGTATTTATGCTACTTTAGCATGCTCACAGCACTCTGATGTTCTTAAATATATTTAAAGAAAAAAGTCCTTAAATGTTTCTTAAAGGATTTTTTAATTATATTTTTCCCTCAAAGATTGAGGCAAACTGTTCCATAATTTTGGCGCTGTCGCGTCAAAAGAGCGCACTCCGTAAGACTTTTGTCTGTGTTCATCCACACTGGGAACTCTCAGTAAGGACTGTGCTGAAGACAGGTTCTTTAAGGATACGTGTTTAGAAATCAGTTCTTTAAGACATTCCGGTGCAGAGCCCTCTATACGGTTGTACGCAAGGGAAAGAATTTTGTGGTCACTGCGCTCACTCACAGGAAGGCAATGGAGATCTCTAAAAACTGTGGTGATATGGTCTGATTTCTTTATCCGCGATACAATGCGTGCTGCAGTATGTTACAAAAATTCTTTAAACCAACCCCCCCCCCCAACCCCGTGGTCACAAAATGTCACACTTTCTTAGAAGTTTATTCTACCTTATATGTAATCGTCTGAAGTCTACCCTACCTGATATGTAATCGTCTGAAGTCTACCCTATCTGATATGTAATCGTCTGAAGTTTATCATATCTGCTATGTAATCGTCTGAAGTCTATCATACCTGATATTTAATCGTCTGAAGTCTATCCTACCTGATATGTAATCGTCTGAAGTCTATCCTACCTGATATGTAATCGTCTGAAGTCTGTCCTACTAGATATGTAATCGTCTGAAGTCTATCCTACCTGATATGTAATCGTCTGAAGTCTATCCTACCTGATATGTAATCGTCTGAAGTCTGTCCTACTAGATATGTAATCGTCTGAAGTCTATCCTACCTGATATGTAATCGTCTGAAGTCTATCCTACCTGATATGTAATCGTCTGAAGTCTATCCTACCTGATATGTAATTGTCTGAGGCTTGACGGCCAGCGTTTCATACGGAGCCACGTTGACGGCATGGCTCCCCGAGTACGGCGCCAGCTTCTGCATCGTGTCGCACATCAACGATTTCCTGTGGAGTTGGACTGGTTTCGCTTCCTTATACTTGGCGCCGTAGATTCCGTAGGTCTTCCTCAGCCTTAGCTTCAGGCTCGTCTGCGACTTCATTCTCTCTGAGACGGCTTTTTGGCTTCTTGTCTTCAGCAACTGGACGTCCTGGAGAGCGATGTCATTGAAATGATTTTTTAAAAATGTATAAAGAATGTGAATGTGGATTATGCTGATGATCATTGAGTACTTTTATAGCGCTTGTGTCCATGCTGAATGGTGCACACTAAAATAAAATAAGTAATTAAGTTTATGTTTGTATGCGCAATGAGCTACCACAATGTCGGTCAAAGAAGAATAAAAATTTAAGTGTAGAATCTGACCCCTTCGCCCTAGTTCTTAAATATCTCCATTGGCTTCCTGTGAGTGAGCGCATTGACCACAAAATTCTATCCTTGGAGTACAGCTGTATAGAAGGCTCTGCACCTGAATATCTTGGAGAACGTATTTCCAAACACGTATCCTTTAAGATTCTGCGCTCTTCAGCACAGTCCCTATTCAGAGTTCCCAGTGTGGATGGACACAGAAAGAAGTCATTCAGAGTGCGCTCTTCACCACAGTCCCTATTCAGAGTTCCCAGTGTGGATGGACACAGAAAGAAGTCATTCAGAGTGCGCTCTTCAGCACAGTCCCTATTCATAGTTCCCAGTGTGGATGGACACAGAAAGAAGTCATTCAGGGTGCGCTCTTCACCACAGTCCCTATTCAGAGTTCCCACTGTGGATGGACACAGAAAGAAGTCATTCAGAGTGCGCTCTTCACCACGGTCCCTATTCAGAGTTCCCAGTGTGGATGGACACGGAGTCCGCTCTTTTGAAGCAATAGCGTCTAAATTATGAAACAGTTTGCCTCAGTATATAGGGACTTTTTAAACAAATGAATAATTTAAGAGACATTTAAGACATTTTTATTTAAATAGAGTTTCGGACATCAGAGCGCTTTTAACATGCTAGAATAGTATGGACACAGGCGCTATATAAGTAATAAATCATCAGCATCACCCCAAAAAAAAACACATTTTTTCTTCAAAACGCATAGGCCTATTGGAACTAATTGTATCCCTCTAATTGTGTCCCTCTAATTGTGTCCCTCTAACAACCTCCTTCTTCTTGTAAGAAATTGTTTTATTGGAATCCCAAACTTATGGCAAGGTCCGTGTTGAGAAGAAAAAAAAACGGCCCTCTCTTTTGGCAGGCTGGAAATAACGCCCACCAATATATTATATAAATTTAAAAAGACACAGACGATTTAGGCGCCCCTTGTCTTCCTTTGAAGTCCATGACATGGTCTCGTTTAGATCACTCTAAATGTCCAATCTAACGACCATTTTGACTACCACCGATTTTTTGCCCGCGTGGCAATCTCCTCTTTCGCCCCTCCGCAGTATCGCACATCCCTGCATCTGTCGCGTCGCTCGCATTAGGCCTCAAAGGCATATTTTGTAACTGTTCTTCGGCCCTAAAAGGCTATTATAATCCCCAAGCCTCTAACGAATGCTGCAGGACACACGTCTTGACTCTTCAATCTCCGATTTCCCCAGCCTCCACAATACACTAAAAGGCTTACAGTAATACCGTGTTGCACTCTGGACACGGTTCCATCCAGCTCCTCCGCCATTCTCAGCGACTCCTAAACAAATTTATTTTATTTTTCATTTAATAATTTTGCTGCCCTGACAATTGCTTTACTAGCGACGTGCTCTTACCCACTTTATAGATGGTGTTCCGTATTTTTAGAGCTAAATTGGGGAGTTGTTACAGATTATATAAATATTTATGGGAGATAAGTAATATGGTCATTATTACTTATATAATATACAGAGCATTGGGACATAGGAAAACCTGACCAATGAGAGAAGAGTGAAATAATGGAGAAGACGTTGAATAAAATGGCAGTTGAATCACGGAGTTTTTGTGAGGGGACTGAGACGGTTGATGTTTTAAATGAAGATCTATAGTGTGTTAACACTTTATCAAGTAACGTAGATTACCCAGAAGCTAGTACTGAAATTCAAATGATACGCTCTAAGTCTTTTCGGATTTATTTCTTACTGTGACTGTCACTGAATGTGGATAAGAAAATGTCACTGAATGTGGATAAGAAAATGTCACTTAATGTGGATAATAGAATATCACTGAATGTGGATAAAGGAATGTCAGTCAAGATAACCATTTGAACCACTTCGCCTCTGTACTCTGTTTTATAACGAAATTGTGTAATGTCAAGGATTTTTCTTTTCTTCCTTTTTTAAAAAAATTATCGAAATCATGTTACGATCAGGTTACACGCCCATGTACCTTTGCAAATAAGGAATCGCCGATCCTGGAAGAGATAGGGTTACAGTAGACCCTCACGATCCTTTCATCTCTCAGTAGCCGCCTCTGCTCACTGTCCAGATCTTCACACAGTATCTCCGTTCTCCTGAAAACGAAATGCAAAAAAACACAAATGAAATCATTTCAATCTTATTAAGAACGGTAACTATGGATCATGATATCGCGCGCGGTTACCAGCAGACTATAGCGTCTAACTAGAACTGCTACTTGGAAATTTTCAAACAGCAGATTTATATTTTCAATGCTGACAAAATTCTAATCCAATATCCACGTACGTCAACACGACACCTCAGATATATATGTCAGTGTACGTGCGCGTAGTGGACATTAGGGCGAACGTATCATGTGTTTGTTGATGTTGTTGTGGTCGCTGATAAGGTTTACTTTAAATCGGTGTTCTCAACCTTCCTAATGCCGCGATCCTTCAATACAGTTTCTCGTGTCGTGGCGACTCCCAGCCACATAATTATTTTCGTTGCTACTTCATAGCCGCAAGGATATGTGTTTTCAGATGGTCTTAGGCGACCCCTGGAAAAGGGTCGCGAGACCCCCCAAAAGGGTTGTGACCCCACAGGTTGAGAACCGCTGCTTTAAATGCTATTTAACGACAACCTGGCTTTGTGCTATTTTTTTCTTCATGCTTCTTCTATAGATCAATCACAGAATGACATGTTCTCAGTGACGTTGCTAGGGAAAGTTCTGCTCAGGGCGGGGGGGGGAGCTTCGCCCCCCCCCCCCCCCCCCCCCCCCCCCACAACAGCTTTCTAGGAAAAGTTTTCCTCTGCAGTTTTCCGAAAAGGACGCCCTTCAATATAAAGAAAAAAGTGCCAACCTGGGTGCACAGCCCACTGTCGCAACCCTTCCTACGCCACTGCATGTTCTATTTAAAAAAATAAAGAGAAATCAACTGAGTCTCTACAGTTAAATCCTTTAATAATTCCATAATAATAAACGAAATTTCTGATTTCTTATTGTTTGGCTTATAAACTTTAATGCTTTGAAAACCCTTTGGGGGGGGGGGGGGGTTAGTAAAAGAGTGAGAGGGGGCTTAAAGGAAACTAAGATATAACGCATATATTTTATGTTTAAAGAATTCATAGACAACATTATTTTTACATTTTCTGTCGAAATTGATTATAGTCATCCACTCGTTATAACTTTTTTTTTTTTTACAACACGACCAAAGACAACAAGAAAAGGAAGTACAGGTTGCTCCACCTAGTGTTGAGGAAGTCAGGCAGCAGCTTCATGGGAATGTCGGGAAGATGGCGGTACAAGCTTGGTGGGATCTCATCGTACCAGAAATGACCTGAAACATGCAGAGTGTTCAGGGTTATTTCAGCCTACGCCAGAGGGGAGAAATGCGGGCGAACCTTAACAAACACAATAAAAGATCTAGGCGCAACGTGTTTGCTTCATGACTCTCCAGGACTCTTCTATAGTTCTTCTATATTTTGAGGGCCCACGATCAATGCATTGATCATTCTGGCTCTCATGCTTTTAAAGCTTTTCCCATAAGCATGGACTCCATTTTGTCTTTTAACTTTTAAATTATATACAGGCAGAAGCCTAGGGGCAGACGACTCACCGGTCGCCCAAGGCTGAGATTGATCGACGATGTAGAGATGGATATACACCAGTTGGGGGTTCACGCATGGAGGCGGAGAGCCATGAATCGCTCCGAATGGAAGGGTGTGGAGGAGCAGGCCAGGGCCCTACATAGGCTGTAGCGCCACTGATGATGACTTCCCGTACACATAGAGTGTTCAAAAAAGTAAACAAATTAAATGTATTTTATCAATGTGTATAATGAAGACCCACGTATGAGTTTAATATCCTCTCTTAATACACCACCCATAAATTATTTTTGGTCACAACCTCCCTCCCAACCCTTAGTTTTCAACATTTTTGGTTTAAAATAAGAACACCAAAAATTACCTCCTTGCGTTGTGTCGAATTTGCTCGGAGTTTTCAATGGAGGCTTTGGGGGGAAAGGTCCTAGCTTATTTTCACTGGCCTTGAAGGACGCCAACTTTGATTTTTTGCTATTTGGGTTGGGTGTATCGTTTCTACTCTGTAGATATGTATCTGATCCTGTTTTGCCGTGACTTCGTTGGTTTGGTGATAGTAGACTTGGCGTCAAGGCTTCTTTACTGCGTGGGCTAAGAAGCATCGGTCCGCCGGCAACGTGTGGGCTAGATGAAGAAACCGTTTTACTGCGTGGGCTAAGCATCGGCCCGCTGGCCTCGTGTGGACTAGACGAAGAATCCGTTTTGCTGCGTTGGCTGGGCATCGGCCCGCTGGCCTCGTGTGGACTAGAAGAGGACCCCTCTTTACTTCGTAACCCAAGCGTCGGTCCGCCGGCCTCGTGTGGGCTAGGTGAAGAGCCCGTTTTATTTCGTGGACTGAGCATCGGCCCGCTGGTCTTGTTTGGGCTAGACGAAGAATCCGTTTTGCTGCGTTGGCTGGGCATCGGCCCACTGGCCTCGTGTGGACTAGAAGAGGACCCCTCTTTACTTCGTAAACTAAGCATCGGCCCGCCGGCCTCGCGTGGGCTAGATGAAGAAGCCGTTTTACTGCGTTGGCTGGGCATCGTCCCACTGATCTCTTGTGGACTAAGCGTGTCATCGTTCTCTTGTGGGTCTGGTCTCGTTCCAGAATTTGACGATTCCTTTTCCGGCTCGTTGACTGGCGGTGAAGACATTGTAGAACAATGGGTTTAAATCTTGAATATCCTTCAACCAGTTTGTGAACAGGGTGTGTGTGCAGCACGTAATAGCTGCAGGCGTACAAACACAAAAAAAAAAAAAAATGTTGACAGATTGGTCACTACGGGTATAAGAGACTGTATATGTTTAAAAGCATCTTTTATGACATACGGCAAAGTTTTTATGTAAGTATAATCATTATTTACATATTTTTTTAGTCTTCATGTATCAGATACAAAATATCTAGTTTGTGAACAGGGTGTGTGTGCAGCACGTAATAGCTGCAGGCGTACAAACAAAAAAAAAAAAAAAATGTTGACAGATTGGTCACTACGGGTATAAGAGACTGTATATGTTTCAAAGCATCTTTTATGACATACGGCAAAGTTTTTATGTAAGTATAATCATTATTTACATATTTTTTTAGTCTTCATGTATCAGATACAAAATATCTATTTTCTTAAATGAATGGGTGTAGCAAAATAATTTGAGTCACTTTTTTGTCTACATCGCCATAATGAAAGCTCACAACAGCCATTGTATCCAGTGTATCCCAAACCGACATTTACAAATGTGTGATGTGAATATCGCGCCAAGCCAAACTATCAACAATCATTTTCCGTGAAATCGTCAAAATTCAATGGACGAAAGCAGAGATTTTTGGGGAAGTTGGTGGAGGGGGAAATGCTTTAAATAATTCGCCCTCTTCATGACAGCCGAGAGGCCCTAAGTGGCCCCAGTAAGAGAAAACTTCTCTTAGTGGTTTTTCAATGAAGATATCCGCGACATTCTTCCAGCAATTTTCTTGGTTTTTGATAACCCCGCCAGACGCAGCCGTTCAACTGGGTTCCAAATGCAGGCCCGATCGGAAATTTCCGCTTTGGCAGATACGGAGGTTGAAATGGATGAAAGGGTATTTAGTCTTTTTTTACATGGGTTTCAACCTTATCTTGAAGTATAGAATATGCAGCCCACTAACAAAAATCAATCAATAATAATAATTTCGGTGCCCCTCTGCACAAAAGGCGTTGGCCACCCTTGTTGGCTTAGGTTGTCAATACCGCTTGTGCATATGACTTGATACTACCATCAGTGATTATTTCAGAATTTTTTCCCCCGAGCGGAGGGGGGAGGGGGGGCACTTCAGAATTATTGGGGGGAAATTATTGATTTATTTGTGGAAATATTTTTGCTCAAGGGGGGGAGGTTGCACTTGGGTTCCCGGCAATGCCCCCCCCCCCCCCAAAGATATAGCTGAAAGAAACCCTGCCTCCCATTATCGAGAACTTTGGTTTCATCCAACTATTCCTTTATAATTGACGTCATTCTATTACTGATTAAAAAACATACATTTACTGAAATGTTGCATTTTTTAAAATCCCACCCTCCTACTGTCATGAAAATCACGTCGATGATTCAATAACCAAACTCCTTTCTGAATCAGTTCTTCAAAATGTACAGCAACGCACAGCTAAAGAAAGTCAAGTCTGTCACTGTCACTTTCAAGAGGCGGTCAGTGGCGTTGGTTCACCTTCGTGAAAGTTTTCTTTCTTGGCCGACCCAGGGAAAACTTTTCGATTCATCTGTTGCTTGTTGGCGTAGAAAAGGAAAATTTCGATTTCTGGAGCTTCCTCTTGTTTGGGATAAGTGCACCTGTGGCTCACAATGGCGGAATAGAATAATAGAAGCTTTGGTCAGAACTTTTCTGGACACCCAGAGAAATAAACGCATTATGAGTGAGAAAAATATGCCACTGGCCGATGGCCTCAGGCAGACACTGACATCTATCGCCAGGAGAAAATACTGATAAATTAATAAAGTCAAAGCATGTCCAACTCGTCCCACTTGTCAAAACATGTCCAACTCGTCCCACTTGTCAAAGCATGTCCAACTCGTCCCACTTGTCAAAGCACATCCAACTCCTCTCTCTTGTCAAAGCATGTCCAACTCGTCCCACTTGTCAAAGCATGTCCAACTCGTCTCACTTGTCAAAGCGTGTCCAACTCGTCCCACTTGTCAAAGCATGTCCAACTCGTCCCACTTGTCAAAGCATGTCCAACTCGCCCCACTTGTCAAACCATGTCCAACTCGTCTCACCTCCCAAAGCGTCTCCAACTCGTCCC